GAGGAGGAGGAGGAGGAGGAGGAGGAGGAGGAGGAGGAGGAGGAGGAGGAGGAGGAGGAGGAGGAGGAGGAGGAGGAGGAAGAAGAAGAGGAAGAAGAAGAGGAAGAAGAGAAGAAGGGGAGGAGGAGGAGGAAGAAAAGGAGGAGGAGGAAGAAGAAAAAGAAAAAAAGAAAAAAGAAGAAGAAGAAGAAGAAGAAGAAGAAGAAGAAGAAGAAGAAGAAGAAGAAGAGAAGAAGAAGAAGAAGAAGAAGAAGAAGAAGAAGAAGAAGAAGAAGAAGAAGAAGAAGAAGAAGAAGAAGAAGAAGAAGAAGAAAGAAGAAGAAGAAGAAGAAGAAGAAGAAGAAGAAGAAGAAGAAAAAAGAAGAAGAAGAAGAAGAAAGAAGAAGAAGAAGAAGAAGAAGAAGAAGAAGAAGAAGAAGAAGAAGAAGGAGGAGGAGGAGGAGGAGGAGGAGGAGGAGGAGGAGGAGGAGGAAGGAAGAAGAAGAAGAAGAAGAAGAAGAAGAAGAAGAAGAAGAAGAAGAAGAAGAAGAAGAAGAAGAAGAAGAAGAAGAAGAAGAAGAAGAAGAAGAAGAAGAAGGAGCAGCAGCAGCAGCAGCAGCAGCTGAAAGTGGTGCTGTGGCTCAAGTGGTAGAGAAGCTCAGGGACAGTACCCAGGCCCTGAATTCAAGCCTCAGAACACACTCACACACACACACACACACACACACACAAACACACACACACACACACACACATACACACGCATACACACCAAACTGAAGTCTCAACTTTCTTACAGCTAAATGAGGGATAATAATGGGATTTGTCATAAGAATTAAATAACAGACATGAGTCATCTAACTTGGTATAACGTTCCAAAATATTTGTCCTTCCTCCTTCGGGATCTCAAAGATGGATCCTGAGTAAAGCTATTATAGTTTTAATGTGGATTCAACCATATTAGTATCTATAAGTGAAATATTCAATTACCTCAAACACTGTTTCTAATTTCAGGAAATCACTGGCTGGTGTATTCTGAATGCATTGTATAGTCCTATTATAAGGGAATTGTTTTCTTTAACCATATTCTTTCTATAAGTATTGCAAATGTAATATGCTTCTAAAAAAGGAAAAAAAAACTAAACTGGAAATAGGTATCATTGTTGAGTGTTTTGTGGACTGGGATGTTATTCCTAATTTGAAGTCATTGGAGTGGAGTGTTATTCTCTAGATTGGAGAGTAGCCTGCAGGGGATATTTGTACACGCTGATGTTTGAGGGGTATGTTATTTACCACCTGTAACTTGCCGATCTTGTTTTTGTTGAGAGTTGAGCTGAAGCCTTTACCTCCATTAGGTAGTGTAGTTTGGTTAATGGATGGGTAACAGGAAAGAGTGTAAGGGGAAGCCAATGTTAATGTGAACTCCTGCCGCTTTTATTATAGTGGCACTCGCAATAGTTAAGGTTGAGCAGCTGTTTCCATTATGAACTCCTATTTCGGGGGTTTATAACTGAGCTGTAAAAATTTGCTCTAGGCTAAAGCTCCGCTTATCGGGTCTTAGCCTGGGAGAATTTTTCCCCTTACTACATATTTTTTTTTTGAAAAAGAAATCAATTTAGCTAAGGTAATCTAAAAACACAGAAATTAAAAGAAAAAGGTCTGATTTTAATCATGTCAATTGCAAATGTTGGGATTCATGATTATTACATTTCTACATTTCTGACAAGTCTTAAACTTGCTTATGTCAAATGTTGAATGGAGATAGATTTAACACTTTATTTACAAAGAGCAGCAGTTTCTTAGGCCACAAAAACCAACCATTATGTGTTAAAAATACCAAAATTGAATTTAACAATATTAATTTATTAATTAGAACAAGCTATACAAATGAAGGTTATTCTTTCTGGAACTTGTGAAATCACTTTGTATTTAGCCGAACAATAATTTGGAATCTTAAACTGAAAAGAGTTAAATGACTTTTTTTTTTTTGGTTGGTCATGGAACTTTAACTCAGGGTCATTGTCCCTGAGATATTTTTCACTCAAGGCTAGTGTTCTACCACTTTAAGCCACAGCACCACTTCTGGCTTTCTGGTGTTAATTGGAGGTAAGAGTGTCACAGACTTCCCTGACTGGGCTGGTTTTGAATGGTCATCCTCAGATATCGGCGCCCTGTGTATCTAGAATTACAGGCTTGAGCTACTGGCGCCCTGCTAGATGACATTTTGGGTTTCTTTTTCTTGGTAGGTTGTGGTACTTGAACAGGGCCTGGGCACTGTCTGTAAGCTTTTCTGCTTAGCATTCTACCACTTTGAGCCAGAGCTCCACTACCAGTTTTTGAGTAGTTAATTGGAGATAAGAGTCTCATGGGGACTTTCCTGCCTAGGCCGGCTTTGAACCATGATTCTCAGATCTCAGCCTCCTGAGTAACTAGGATAATAGGGTTGAGCCACTGGTGCCCAAATAGATGACATTTTCATTAATATAATTTAGGAACTTTTGTTAACTATAGAAAGTTTTACCTAGCTAGGCGTAGAAAACATTTTATATACCTGGTTACAGCAAGAGTCCAAGAGTCCAAGAGTCCGATGAGTAATAGTATAGATATTATTACAGTACATTTAAAATACAACTTTTAAGCTAAGTGTGGTGGTGTACATCTATAATCTCAGCTCAGGAAGCTGAGGCAGAAATGTCTGGAGTTGTAGGCCAGTTTGGGTCTATAACATGGTAGAAACCATGTTAGAAAGCACACACACACACATACACACACACACACATACACACACACACACACACACACACACACACACTCTTAAACTTTTTCTTTCATACACTGGGGTTTGAATTCAAGTCCTTGAGCATAGTAGGCAGGTGCTCTACCACTTGACCCGCACTCCAGCCATTTTTTTGTCGGTTGTGGGGCCTGAACTCTGGGCCTGGACACTCCCTCAGTTCTTCAGCTCAAGGCTAGTGCTCTATCACTTGAGCCACAGCACCACTTCTGGCCTTTTCTGCTTATGTGGTGCTGAGGAATCGAACCCAGGGCCTCATTCATGCAACGCAAGCGCTCTACCACTGAGCCACCTTCCCAGCCTCCAGCCCTGATTTTGTTATTTTGAGATATGGTCTCATGTAGCTGAGGCTGGTCTGGAACTCACTATGTAGCTCAAATCGTCTTTGAATTTCCAATCCTCCTTCTTCTACTTCTTTTTATTTTGTTTTTATTCTGCTTTATTTCTGAAAGGAGACACTGAAACATGAGAACCATTAATGACAAAATGCAGAAATGAGGCATTGGTGTCTACAGTCACTTCTATAAAAATGCAACTATGAGTTGTCATGACATGCCTACTTTTGATGTTGTTTCGTTGTAAAAACAATACCAATAGAGAATACAATAAGTAGTGCTTCCACATTTTAGGGAAGCAAAATGTGAAGAGCTGGGTCTGCCTGGGAGGCTAGTGGCTGCCCTACTAGAATTCGCAAGAGAAGGGACTTTGTGGTCCTCTTGAACACATGGACAAAGAGTAGATGACTTTTATTTTACCAAGGGGTCTCACTTGTCAAGGTTTTGAAATGTCATATTAATGTTGATGATAGCTCGGCGCCTGCTTAGCTACCCAAGAGTTTTATGGTCACTCACTTCTATAGGAGCAATATCTAAGGGGGCTCAATGCTATATGTAAGTTTCTAAATCCATAAACAATTTTTACTATTAACACAAAATGCCACTTAAAACTATAAAGAAGTAGGGGAAAACAAAGGAAGAGGTAACAATGCTCAATGGGAAATGTACTCATTACCTTACTCATGTAACTGTAACCCTTCTGTACACTCTTTTTTTTTTTTTTTTTTGTCGGTCGTGGGGCTTGAACTCTGGGCCTGGGCGCTGTCCCTCAGCTCTTCAGCTCAAGGCGAGTGCTCTACCACTTGAGCTACAGCGCCACTTCCGGTTTTCTGGTGGTTTATTGGAGATAGGAGTCTCACGGTCTCTCCTGCCCGGGCTGGCTTTGAACCGCGATCCTCAGATCTCAGCCTCCTGAGTAGCTAGGATTACAGGCGTGAGCCACCAGCTCCCGGCTTGTACACTCTTTTTACAATAAAAAAACATAAAAAAAATATAAAAAAGGACCGGTTAGTTTTGTCAAGCTTCCATTGTGACAATGTTGCTCTGAAAAAGGTTGGTTTTCTCAGATACACGTATACCTTCCCAGTCACCTAGATGTTTTGTACTTTACAAAGAGATACTCGGACAATGTGCCACTGGGTGGGGTGGGGGACATCTGATGTTAGTAGGGGGAAACTGATAGCTAAGTTCAAATGTGAACTCTGAAAACTGGTGTTAGTCAGGTGAGATCACAAAAGAACAGAAGGAGGCTCAGAGTTTTGAGGACGAAGCTAAACCATGCATTCCAGCAAATTCTCTTTCCGCTCAGGGAAGAGCATGAGCAGTGAGCTGCAGCAGCCCCCCCAGCCCCCCAGTTTGCATGTCATGTGACTGACCACCTGGCCTGCAACAGCGACTCAGTGGGAACTCCATCTATATGCTTTCTGCTTACATCACAAAGTGGGTAAATGATTAACACTGCTCTGCTGGATGATGAACATGCGTAAGTGTCAATCTAAGATTTTGCTTTCTCATTGCACCGATGGAAAAGTTAACTTGGCTGTGAGGACACTTGTTGCTGAATCCTAACACGATCGCAGTAGGTCCTTATTTGAGCAATACTGCAGAACAAGAGAAGAGGACAGAAGGAACAACTTTAAAGAGACAGGGAGCCACCCCTCCCCCTGTCAACGGGGTAGGGCAGAGAAAAGAACAAGAGCACTAAAAGCACGATTGAAATTCTGTTTCACAGGACAGAAGCCCCTTCCCCCCCACCCATCAATTTACAACTGTTTTAGCACATTCGGGGCAATACACCTGCTGCTGGTATAAAACAAAGCGCTTGCTGCTCAGATTCGTAGAGCATTTTTTGCAGTTGAAGCAATAGTCGTGCCAAGATTGCCCTTCATAGGCTACCACATTGGTGCCTTTACCAAACCCAGTGATGGGGTTATGGCATCCCGCACACTTCTTGGCCACAAAGTTCTTGTAGCACTCCACGCAGTAATACTTGTCCTCCACGGCCGTGAAATGCTGCTCAGCCAGCTTCTTGGAGCAGAAAACACACACAAAGCAATCAGCATGCCAGGGCTGGTTCTGGTACGTGATTCCTCCCGACGTGATAGGCTTTGCGCACTTGACGCACTGCTTGGAAAACTTGGCCGTATGACAAGCGGCGCAGTACATCTCTTCCCCTTTCGCGAAGAAGCTGTCGGTGCCGATGATTTTCTTGCAGTTGCTGCAGAGGAAGCAGTCTTTGTGCCAGTAAGCGCCCTTGTACTCCATGTTCTGGTCTCCGGCCACAAAGGGCTTGGAGCACCCTTTGCACTTGGGGGATTCCTCGGTACTAGCGGCACAGTCGTTGCACAGGATCTTGTTGTCCTTGGCCATAAAGCTCTCCGAGGCCAAGGTTTGCGAACACTTGGAACAACGGAAGCAGGTGTGGTGCCAGAAGCAGCTCTTGTAGTGCACTTCCTTAGAGTCCGCGCCGATGGGCAGGTGGCATTCCACGCAGATGTTGGCACAGAACTTGTCGAAGCACTTCACGCAGTAGGACTGGTTTTCCTTCTCCACATACTTCTTCCCCTGCAAGGATTCCTTGCAGTGGTGGCAGTGGTACTTGTCATCCATGGTGCCCACCTTATATCTGGAGGGACCTCACACTGGATGTGTGGACAGAGTGTCTTCAGCAAAGGCTGGGCACAGTTGAGAATGGCTTCCCTTTGCCAGGCAAGTGGGTGTGCCCTGCTGTCTTCGAGGAGGAGGCTTCAGGGAAGCTGTGGTAAGCGCTTCCCTGAGGAGCCCCTAGTAAGTGCGGGCGGCTGTCTCTACCTCTTTAATGCTGGGATTACGGATCTGAACCGGCATTCCTGGCTACATATAGGTTGTATTATTATGCAGGAATGGTGAAACTCACAGTTCGCTGTTCCTAGACCTGAAGGGAAGGAGGCAAGTCATACCATTGGTGGTTATGTTTGGGAAGCACCCAAGCCACTTGCGAGCAAGGGCAGATTATGGTTTCCATGGTTAAGAACCTGATGGAACAATACACAGTCTTCGTGTCAGCTAGTCTGGATCATTTCAGCAGATTCCACACTCCACAGTCCGCAAAGGCCAGGTATCAAAGCTACAGAACAAGGAAAAAATCAAATACGTAATGAATGGAGAGTACTGGGGTGTAACTTCTGGACCCAACCACTTCTTATGGACCCTACCTAGTCCCCCAGGGCCAGAATTAACATTCAAATCTCACTTTTACCTTATTGTAAAGGGGAAATGACCATGCCTTGGTTTTCCTCCTTGTTGGGAATCAATATTTCCGTAGTAGGTTAAGTTGGAACACCCTAACCATTTCAATGGTTAATGCCATTCACTAAGTGAACTAATCTATGCGAATCCATCAACACAGAGAGGCACGCAATAGATACTGAATAAATGGGAGTGATTTCATAAACATACTTTTGGGAGCCCAAGTCTCAGCTGTGGTTTTGAAAAACTAGCTCTAAATCTAGTAGTAGAAAAAGAAACCACATCCTGTAGGAGTCACTCACTGGTTATTAATTTAGTTTGGTTGTTACCTTTAGGACAACTGCACAGGAGAGACAGAGCTCCAATGACCCTCCAGAGTGGTCAGTGTGTTGGTAGGATATACTGCCATCTTGCCAGTCATCTTGGTAAGGTCCTTCCAACTTCCCTATTCTCTTATTGACCCATTATTCTCTTATTGACCCATTATTCTCTTATTGGCCATTGTTAGCACCAAACTTCTTTCAAATATGGTTAATATAGCTACTCTTTTTTTTAATAAGGATTTTTATCTTGAAAATACCGTACAGAGGGGTTACAATTACATGAACAAGGTAATGAGTACATTTCTTATCCAGCATTGTTGCCTCCTCCTTTGTTTTTCTCCTAACATCCCTACCCTCCCATCTCCACAACTACATTCCTCCCACCGCCACCAACCAAAGTTGTAAAGTTTGTTTTTTGACATAGCGTCTTGTACATCTCATTGTCGCAATGGGTCCACCTGTATCCCTATTTAAACCATTTGTTTTTTCCCTTCCCCTCCACAAATTATACCAACGTCAAACACAGTGAAAACAGGGGTTATACCATGGGGAAGGGACATACGAAGCAACAATCACCTTATAAATATGTTAGAAACAATAGGAAGAAAGAAAAAACCACTTGTGTCCTTATCTTGTGGTTCATTTTGCCTAACATCATCTTATCTGACCGTTTCTGTTTGTCTCAGACATATACTAGTTATTGCAAATAAGGGAAACCATGGGACCTATGTTTCTTTGGGCCTGGCTTACTTCACTTAATATAATTTTTTCCAAGTCTTTCCATTTCCTAACAAATGGTGGTCACTCTTTTTAAAATGTTTTTTTTAATTGTAAAAATAGTGTACAGAGGGGCTACAGTTACACGAGTAAGGTAATGAGTACATTTCCTATCGAGCATTGTTACCTCCTCCTTTGTTTTTCCCCTACTATCCCTTCCCTCCCACCCCACCCCCCAAGTTGTAAAGTTTGTTTTCAACATAGTGTCTTGCACATCTCATTGTTACAATGGGTCAACCTGTATTCGTGTTTCAGCATTTTATTATTTCCCTTCCCCTTCCCAAAAATGTATTTACAAGATTCAGGGCACCAACATCAAATATAGTGAAAACAGGGGTTACCATGGGGAACAACATACAAGAGAAACAAAAAAAATCATATAGTGCATTTTAGATACATTAAAAACAATAGCAAGCAAGAAAAAACAAATTGTGTTCCTATCTTGGGGTTCATTTCACTTAATGTCATCTTATATGACAATATGTTCATAGCTTTTGACTTTTTTTTTTTTGGCCAGTCCTGGGGCTTGAACTCAGGGTCTGGGCACTGTCCCTGAGTCTCTGAGCTCAAGGCTAGCATTCTAATGCTTGAACCATAGTGCCACTTCTGTTTTTTTTTGAATAGTTTATTGGAGATAAGAGTCTCATGGGGACTTTTCTGCCAGAGCTACCTTAATATGGTCATTCTTACATAACATAATATAATAAACTAAAATCTGTATAAGTTAGACAACAGAGTTAAAAATAATTTTGAAAATGCCTGTAAATAATGCTTTAGTTGCAAGCATGTCCAAACCAAGCAAATTCACCTACTGCTTTTCGTTTTCTTCAAATGCAAAGCAAACTCCAATATCTTCAGGACAGTAATGCAAAACCCAGCCAGGAACAGAAGTATGTCTATTCCTGCACACATTTTCTCCAATTCTTGTGGATGCTGTTCAATGTACTTTCCTTATTACAAAACAATGTTGTTGATGCAAAACCTTGTCTTTCATGCAATGTACGGTGGACATGATGGTGATTTCTGTGGTTTACATTGTCCCTGGAGCTATGCGGTCCAACTGTTTGAAAAAACTTCCTGTTTGGCTTTTGCAAAGACGTGACTATTTGAAACCAATAGGAGAAATGACTGTTGTTTTCTTCTGGATGAAGGAAACAAAATTCTTCTAATAGTTTAACTCAATCACCTGAGCAGTCCCCTCAGGCAGTAGTCTAGGAGGCCGATGTGGTAAACATCCTTACTTGGGCTGACTTTTGTCAGAGACCTGGATCTTTCAACTGCTGCTTCTGGATGGAGCCAGGGGACACTGGTCAATACATTCCTGGTGGTGTTCCTAGCTGATAAGGCCTCCACAATGGTCACCATAATTCCACTGTGTCCCTCATGATCCTCCATCTACTGGCCTCCAAGTGAGGGGGAGTGGATTCCGAGGATAGAAATGGAAGCTCAAAGGTGACAAAAGAAAGAGGAGCCAGAAGAAAGTGTGCAGAACAGCTTGGAGGAGATCCTGTTTTCCCCCAACCAATGAAGTCCCACATTTTCCTTAACTAAAAATCAAGTCAACAAGCAAGAAAGGACAGAGGGAACAAGTTGACATTAACAGGAGTGGGTGAATAGGAGTTTCAGCTTTCTGAGACATTTCCAGGGGAGAAACAGGACTCAGTAGACAGAACAGAGGCTTCTAAAAAATACCACCTAAATTGGGTGCTGGTGGCTCATGCCTGCATTCCTAGCTATTCAGGAGCCAGATCTGAGGATCATGGTTCAATGCCAGCCTGGGTAGGAAAGTCTGTGAGACTCATCAATAATCAACCACCAGAAAGCCAGAAGTGGCACTATGGCTTGAGCAAAATTGCTCAGAGACAGTGCCCAGGCTCTGAGTTCAAGCCCCACAACCAACAAAGAAAAAGTACCAGCAGAACATCAGCTTCCAGTTATGCTAGTAGGACCATAGAGGCCTTTCTGAAAGTTCATCAGATTTCTGTTAAGGTAAACAACAAATATTTCTATCTCTGTCTCTTAACTCTCTGTTTCTTTCAGTGTTTCTCTCTATTTCTCTGTCTCTGTGTCTGTCTGTCTCTATCTGTCTTTCTGTCTCCGAACCAAAACCAGTGAGTTATTTTATGACTCACCTCAGGATGAAAGAGATACTCTCCAAAAACGATATTAAAGAGAAAGTGCTCCAAATATCTACAACACTCCCAATGAGAGTCATAAGAAAGAGAGAACTTTGCTACTACAGGGCCAAGCAAAGAAGATTGAGATGGCAAAAGCCTTTATTTCCACAGGGACCTTGATAAGACAATCTCTCTTGACAGCTGGCACAGCTGGACCACATTCTGGTTATCAGTTTATTTTATTGGCTGTTCAGAACAAGCTAACCCTTGGGCTCCTCAGATGGCAGAGACCAAAGAGAATATCCTCACTGTTCACAAAGCTAAACTCTCAGGACACAATGAGATAAGAAAGACGTAGCTGGGAAGAAAGGGATGAGTCACAAATGGGTACCTCCTAGTCAAACTTACTTAGATGCAATGAAAATAAACCATAACTTTCCCCTGTTAACCTGCATTTGGGAAGGAAAGGATAAAGAGACGCTTCCCTCTTCTTTTCTTAACTAGTTACTAGAGGTAGAGATCTTGAAGAGTGATCTTGGTAAATATTTTTAACTTTGCTTTTCTGTCATTTGCCACCCCCTCCCACTCCTGCCAGCTGCTCTAGAGTTGAATCTGCAGGCTCTTGAGTGATTTATGCTGAGAGCCAGAACTGTAGGTGTAGAAAAGTGTTACCTGTCTTCACCTGTGATGGGGGCAAGGAAAATACTACTGTAACAAAAGGCAGACTGACATCAAATACAGTGAAAACAGGGATTTTACTGTGAGGGAGGAACATACAAAGCAACAAAAAAAATCACATAGTACCTTATAAATACGTGGGGAGGGGAAGGGAAAAAACAAAATGTTTAAATAGGGTTACAGGTTGACCCATTGTAACAATGAGATGTACAAGACGTTATGCTGAAAAACAAACTTTACAATTTAGGGGGGAGGGGAGGAGTGTAGTTGTGGAAGTGGGAGGGAAGGGATGGTAGGGGAAAAACAAAGGAGGAGGCAACAATGTTGGATATGAAATGTACTCATTACCTTGCTCATGTAACTGCAACCCCTCTGTACAGTATTTTCACATAAAAACAAAACAAACAAAAGGCAGACTGACAAGAGAGAAGCAGGCCAGTTCATCAGTGTATTGCATGATACAACAGCCTTGTAAACAAATACCCACAGGCGTAGAGAAACTGTCCACTTTAATGCTTAGATTCAATGAAGAATGAGCAGCAGGCAGACATGTGATTAGACAAAAGTGAATAATGGTACAGATGAGGGAATGAAGAAAGTACATCACACAGAGAGACACGAAGATCTAAACTGATGAACAATGCTGAGCTTCCTCATTCCATCCCATAGGATAGGCAACTTTTTTTTCCCCTGCCATGGGCCATTTGGATGTTTATAATATCATTCGCTGGCCATACAAAACTATTAATACAGGCAGATAGCCACGGGCCAGCAATGAGAAGCATACCAGAAGCATGTGTCTGATCCATCATGTACCAAATGATTTCTAGGGCCTCATATGGCCCAAGGGCCGTTTTATTTTCTATTATTAATAGTGAGTTATGATGAATAGTGATTAAGCTGTTATTCTGTGATACTGGATTAGAGTTACATTTTTTTAAAACAAATTCTAAAAAAGTTGAGAAGCTTTCGAAAGGCATCTTTCTCTGTGTGACTTAAGCATGGAAGCATAGGTCTGAAAGAAATTCTAGAAATTTTTGGATAAATTGTGATGATAGATAAAGGGGGTTCATAAATGTCAACGTCTGTGGGAACTCAACCTTTACAAGGTACTTACTTCACCTTCTATGTGAGTGTACTCTAAAATGAACATTCCTTCGGATTAGGTCAAGAGAAGAATGGATTAATGCCTTTTAGGTCCTGATCTTTTCCAGACTCTTGATTAAGTTGCATTATAAAAATACTTTGCATGAATGCTTAATGAAAAACATAGACCCTATGCACTCTGGCTTTCGTGTGATTCTTAATGTTCTTTGTAGAACATTCCTCCATCTCCATATATTAAAATTGTATATATTCCTTAGAATTTCCTCACAACTGAAAAAAAATTTCTACCATTGATTTACCCTGGGGGTTCTCAATCTCTATTAGCCAGCGTCTACTCTTCTCCCTTCTTGGTAAATTCAAAGGCAGTTCAAACTAAGCAAGATCAAAGTCAGAGTTATGAGCTGTCTTTTTCCCATGCACCTGACCTTTCGTCTTTCCTATGGACCATCCATCTGGTTCTGTCACAATTTTATTTCCAGCTTGTTCCAATTCACAGGCTC